TTTTAGGCTCTACTCACACTTAAACACTAAAAAGAAGTCTCATCCATTCAAGAAATATGAAAAAAGTATGTAAAATGTCTTTAGCTACCTATGTGCCCACAGCCGGCTCCTGCAGCACAAATTTTTGTACAAAACTAGATTTTTTTTCATGTAATCGTTTACAGGGTCTTTGTAATCGATTACAATGGTAAAAAAGGTATACACTTGATTACCAAGGCATAACTTGAGAGGTCTTTGAGTCTAGTTTCCAACAAAACAAGAATCAACTCATTTGGAGTTCGGTGCAAAAAGTTATGAGCAAAACAACGAGCAAAGGGGGCAAGTATGTTTAAAATATTAAATTTAAGGAATTAACTGAACCTACTCAGATGTCCAAAAGTCACAAATTAGTAGTCATTGGAAAGAGTTTTGAGTCTATTTTGTAATAAAAAGATAATTACATCATTTGGAGGTCTGTGGAGAAAGTTATGATTAAAATAGTCATCAAAGGTCAAAGTTGATAGCATTTAATCTCACTCAAATTGCCTTTGGGGAGTGACGTTCTCACGGTTGGATTCAGGACTTAGCTAATATGATTATCACACCAACATTGGGTCTTTCCTACATAATGGGTTGACCAAACCTCAGTTTTTAGGCTCTACTCACACTTAAACACTAAAAAGAAGTCTCATTCATTCAAGAAATATGAAAAAATTATGTAAAATGTCTTTGGCTACTAATGTGCCTACGGGTGGCTCCTGCAGCACAAGTTTTTGTATAAAACTAATTTTTTGTGTGTAATCGTTTATAGGATCCTTGTAATTGATTACAAGGACCAAAAAGGACTACACTTGATTACCAATGCATAATTTTAGAGGTCTTTGAGTTTAGTTTCCAACAAAACAAGAATCAACTCATTTGGAGTTCGGTGCAAAAAGTTATGAGCAAAACAACGAGCAAAGGTGGCAAGAATGTATAAAACATTAACTTTAAGGAATTAACTGCACCTACTCAGATGTCAAAAATCACAAATTAGTAGTCATTGGAAAGAGTTTTTAGTCTATTTTCTAATAAAAAAATAATTACATCATTTGGAGGTATGTGGAAAAAGTTATGATTAAAATAGTCATCAAAGGTCAAAGTTGATAGCATGTTATCTCACTTAAATTGCCTTTGGGGAGTAACGTTCTCACGGTTGGGTTCAGGACTTAGCTAATATGATCATTACACCAACATTGGGTTTCCTCCACAATGGGTTGCCCAAACCTCAGTTTTTAGGCTCTACTCACACTTAAACACTAAAAAGAAGTCTCGTCCATTCAAGAAATATGAAGAAATTATGTAAAATGTCTTTGGCTACTTATGTGCCCACAGCTGGCTCCTGGAGCACAAGTTTTTGTACAAAACCAGATTTTTTTTCGTGTAATCGTGTACAGGGTCTTTGGAATCGATTACAATAGTCAAAAAGGTCTGCACTTGATTACCAAGGCATAATTTGAAAGGTCTTGGAGTCTAGTTTGCAACAAAACAAGAATCAACTCATTTGGAGTTCGGTGAAGAAAGTTATGAGCAAAACAACGAGCAAATGTCAGAGGTGGCAAGAATGTATAAAACGTTAACTTTAAGGAACTAACTACACCTACTTAGATGTCCAAAAATCACAAATTAGTAGTCGTTGGAATGAGTTTTGAGTCTATTTTTTAATAAAAAAAGAATCACATCATTTGGAGGTCTGTGGAAAAAGTTATGATTAAAATAGTCATCAAAGATCAAAGTTGACAGCATGTTATCTCACTCAAATTGCTTTTGGGGAGTGACATTCTCATGACTGGGTTCAAGACTTAGCTAACTTGATCATCACACCGACATTGGGTCTTTCCTCCACCATGGGTTGCCAAAACTTCATTTTTCAGGCTCTACTCACACTTAAACACTAAAAAGAAGTCTCATCCATTGAAGAAATATGAAAAATTACGTAAAATGTCTTTGGCTACATATGTGCCCACAGCTGGCTCCTGTAGTACATGTTTTTGTACAAAACCAGATTTTTTTTCGTGTAATCGTTTACAGGGTCCTTGTAATCGATTACAAGTGATAGAATACCCTGCAAATGCTTGAAATGCAATAAAATTTTGTCAATTCCTCATTATTAATGGATGATACTCAATCACATTGTACACTTTGTTTTTAACATTTGAAACAATAACTCACTTGAAAATGCCAATAGGGAAAGGAATAACACTTCAAATAACATTCACAATAATGAATGCAAATCAAGATCCATTTTCATTAACGTTAAAAAAAATGTTACAATACATTATTTTCTTCATCTATGTACAATAATGACCTATTACTTTCTATAATAACTAAATACACAAATCACTCATGTTTCGTCCTATTTCCAGTGTACGGAGTCCTAAAGGCTCTACTCTTGTATTGCTTTCGTGATCCGACCCTCACAAACCTCTCTACAGTGGGTTGGTTGGTGTAAATGCCTCCCAAGCTTACAAAGGGAGTGTTCATGTGGGATTCTTGACGAGTCGTACTGTGTTCACCATCATCTTTATTCCTCTCTTTATTCTTCTCTTCGGCCAACTCTGCCTCCAAAGTAATAAAAACACAATTAAACAAAACCCCAAAATCAAGAAATAAAACCCCAATTAAACAAAACACAAAACCAAAACCGAAAACCCAAAATGAAAACCTAAAGTCAAACCCGTAACGCATTTAAGAAAATGGAAAAACCCATTTATCTTGCTCGAACCACCAGTGTCACCGGAGGATGTCATTGCACACAATACCATAAATGAGAGCTTTTGGTCCGTCCCACGAAATTGAGGAGGTTGACAAAGCTTGGAGAAAGGACGAAAATAGAAGAGAACGAAAATGAAGACAGACAACAAAAAATGGGGAATGAGAGAATGAAGAGAGATGACGAAGGCCTAGGGGTAATTTTGGAATCAACAAGAACCCTAAGCCTCTCTCCATGTCATATTTTTGCTTTAATTTTTTTTTTAAACGGATCAATCTTGTGCTGATACGTGGCATGGTAAAAAAGTTGGTAAAAAAGAGTTTTTAATATATCGTTCGGAATCCATAATATAATTCAACATTTTATTTTATTTTTCATTTGAAATTATTTTATTATATTTTAATTGTTTTAAAAATTGATATATAAAAAAATGTACACAACTAATTATTTAAATATATTTAAGTTTGAAAATTAATTATTTTAAATATTATTTTCAGTTTTATAAAATACTAACTTCACAATTAATCGTCTTTTAACTTTAACTCTTACTCAATTTTATTAAAATTAAAATAAAGGTATTCTTATAATTCATAATATTACTTAATTGATGTTATTTTCTTTTTCTATCACATTAATCAAATTAACTACAAATTTTTTACTTATTATCTTTTATTTTTCACTTTTGTTTCCTCAATGCAAACTATCTTATTTTCAATTATTTTCATTTTTTATTTAACTTTCACCCTCGGTTAAAAAGAATAATATTGTACGTACACACATTTAATTTAGATGGTTGTACTTATAAGAGGACCACTCCACGTATTACCAATAACTAACTAAATTGTTCCTTTTCTAAGTGTTGTGTATGTTTGTCTTTTAAAAATAAAAATTAAATATTTTTACTTTAATAAAATATTTGTAAAATGGTTTATTATCTTTTTAATTTACATAGCAACAGATACAAACATTGTCAAAAGGCAGACATCCATTGTCGGAAGGCTACAAGGACATGCATCTGCATTGGTCGAAACTCTATCGTCCACAACAAGATTTCTGTCATGAGATTTTTATTTTCAGATTCAAAATTCATTCTGGATTTTAAAATACGTAACACAGGTAAGTTTAGATAACAAATAGAACTCTACAGTCCACAACAAGATTTAAAATCCATAAGAATTCCAAATTGTAAAATCCAATATATATTTGTAAATGCCGGATTCTACGAGAATACTTTTCGATCCAAATCTCATTCCAGATTGTAAAATCTGGTATGCTAAATAACTTAAATTATGTTACAGATCTGACAATCTGTAATGTGTTTCTAATCCAAACGGATTATACAATTAGTAATGTATTTTGGTTCAGATTTGTTTTCTTAAACGTGAAATTAGTTCATATTTGGTTCAATAATCACAAGAGGCACCACCATCACCTCTACAAGATGAACTCACAACAAGGAATATCAGCTGTCCAAAACACTAATTATTCATCACATAATACGGTGTAACTTTGAAACGGGAATTTTTTAGATTTTCAAAAATGAGTGAAGGAAAAATATATAGAGATGCAGAAAGAAATAGCCTTAAAACATCACAGTTGTCACTTATTTTTTTAAAAAAGAAATGTTTGCATTATAGATTATTCCAAAATCATCTTTAATAATAATGAGAATAATCTCTTTTAGTTCTATTTCTCTCAATCTCGTTTATCATTAACATATTTGTTGGTTTAAACTTTACTGACTATACACTAGAATAATCAAGGTAAACATTAAAAAAATTTATTTAATATAAATTTAAACTATTGAAGAACTTAACACATTTACGGTCTCTAATCGAATGACAAATCAAATTGACACGTTTAAAAAAAGAAATGTTTGCATTATAGATTAATGCATAGCACTTTTTTTTCTTATCAGTCGTCTAATGAATAATTCACAACAGTCTACAAAGTCTATCCCCACACAACAATTTTACGATATTAATTTATGATTAAGATGAAAGATGAAATGAGAATGAAGTACAAGACAAAGTAGACTACTGAAAACATACAAGTAAATGAGTGAAGAAATATTGTGAAAAATAACAAAAATTGCCTGAAATCTGGGGTGTCATGTTTATAATTATGTCTAGCATAAATCTTTTATTAAAAAAGAATAACAACTTTATGTCTAGTGTATTCGACAAAATAGCAAAAATGTTGCATTTTGCATGTTAGTGTTGAATAGAACAGAAATTAAGTTCAGTGTTTGGGCTAGAGCTATATAGAATTGATTTTGAAGTTTGGAATATGATTGAGATGTGTCTAAATTATTCTGAACTACATATTTGCAAATAATGCACAGTGCATTCCGGAAATCCTCAGAACACCCCAGTTGCATCAATCACAATGATGCTTTCGCTGTTAGTTTCCTCCAAAAAAATTACATGGCAAAAAAATAATAATTCCGCCCAGTTGCTACCCAAGCATAACAAATCCACTATATACGAGGGTAAAAAACTCAACAAATAGGGGGAGACAGGACCTGCTGTAGAACCTTTTTATTCTTCATTATTTCCATGACTCTGCTACCAGATGGTGGTAAGATATTCAGAGGACAAACTTCTTAATTATGGTAAAGTAGCTCTCACTATTTTCCTATCAACACCGAATGCCTGCAATACATAGCACCACCAATCATAATGTTATTCACTAATGCTATGAATTAATTGTTTCAACGTGAGTGCAGTTGCATCTTTTAAATGTAATCTTATAAACCAAGGAGGCTGTCATTTCCCTGAAATTCATATTTTAACTGTATAAATGCTAAATCAAATTATTCAATTATATGTATCCATTCTATAAATTCTTAAGCGGTAATAGTTTGAATGAAATCCATACCTCAACTCCTAAACCTTTAACGTAGACATGGCTAAATAATTCGGATGGGTCTGGCATTGGACTCTCCTGGAAATAGAAATGAACACAAAACCCAGATTGTAAACGATATATGGACATTACAGAATGTGGAAAGATAACGCATACAGAAACAAATTTTCAGCCAAGAGAAAATAGAAAAAGTTATGTTTTTCACCTTTGCTTTAGCAATGGCTTCGTCGACTTCTTTTCTGACTTCTTTTTCAATGTCCTACAAGAAGGAAAGGAAATTAATACATTTGACTAGCATTGCATCAAAATTCAACTTTTACATAACACACATGAAGACATTTGCATAATAAACCATAAACTGCTCAAACGTCAAACTAATGTTTCCTAAAATCACAAAAATCTATACGGAGAAAAAATTGGTTAAATATAACAAAATTTGAAGTTAACCATGAAATATTATTTGTGAACCATAATATCGACAAATTCATCCTTGCACACAGCAAAAATACTCATAGGTACAATGTTACGTACCTGAGTACGAAACCTACTCAGACAACCTCTCACACACCCACACATGCAACAGAACAATGAACGAATGAATTTCTTTTATTAATGGTGATAGAACTCTTTGAATAAACAAAAGTAAACAAAGATAACTGGGAGCATAACCTCCCTCACAGAACTATCAACAAACTTAATAATCAAAAGCATAACCATAACAATAGCATCTACCTTTATTTATACTAATTATTTCCCTAGAATATAGCTCTATTTACTATAATTATCTTATACTGAATATTTCCCTAAGATATAGCTCTATTTACTATAATTATCTTATACTCAATATTTCCCTAATATATAGCTCTATTTACTATAATTATTACTAACTATTTCCCGCCTATCCTAACTGTTGCAACAGTTAGGATAGTAGCTCTTCAACCGGTCGGCTCAGGTTCTTCGCTGATTCCCACCGTTCGACTTGACTCCTCATCGCCTTCCACCATTCGGCTTGACCTCTCCCTGCCTCCTACCGTTCATGCTTCCCCTGCCTCCTACCGTTCGGCTCCCCTGCCTACTATCCTATCACCCTATATCCTATCATACAATTAAACTCAGTAGAATACTAGCTACCACCACAAAGGACTACCAGCCCATATGACACCCCACTGGCACTCAACTTCATGCCTGTATAAGCTGATTCCTAAAATCTTTTAGATAAATTAGATACCCTTCATCATTATAGAGAATGGAGTTTCTATTATGGACTGTCTTCAGGAAAACAACCAGAGGGAATTTAGCCAAGGATATAAAAAAGAAAAGCATTGTATGTTGTGCATAACTAATTCTGAAAATATCAAGTTTCCCAATTCGAGGGATTAAGAATGAACCCCAATATTGTTCACCTTTAGCTCCTTTTCAGCAGCAATGTCATGAGACAATAACAGCTTTCTTACTCTCTCAATTGGATCACGCTCCTACAATCATAGCAGACAAGAAAAATAATTAAAATAAATCTTTTAAAATAATTAACTTCTAACATGTTGTAAGCTGGCGAGTAGTGTAACAAACCTGTCTCACTCCAGATATTTCATCACGTGTGCGGTAAGTGCTGCCAGGATCAGACATAGAGTGACCATGGTATCTATAAGTATCCATTTCAAGAATCTGGACAGATTAATACGAAAGAGAAATCAATAAAATAAAAAAGTATAAATTTTTATAATTTAATCAAAGCAACACAAGTGACAGATATATTAAAACATTATACACCAATTCTTTTTATGTCATGCAATCTATAGGATGCTGTACTATATGTTTAGAATAAAGGACCCTTTACTATTGGACCAAATCACACCGCCATTAAAAGGATGATGGTAAACACTTTTTGAATACAGTAGCTGATGGGCAATATATGCAAAAAACCAAACCCTATTTTTATAATGCAAAGAATCAAATAATAAAATACATTTTTTATTTGCAAATAATAAATAATATGCCCAATCTATTGAAAACAAAGGATGATAAACAATTGTTTTAAAATTCAAAAAGTTGATGAATACATTCTTCACATCAATGACCAGTACCAGAAATATTAAACTTTCAGAAAAATAATTTCTTCCCAGGATTCAAACTGCAATTAATTAGTCAAGTAAAGAAATAGAATTTATAATGCCTCAATGGCTCCTTAATCATATGATAATTTGTTCCGAGTATCATGATATTTCATAAGAATTGTTGGAGTTTAGAAAAAGAAATTCAAAGTAAATAAAATATCAACTCCGTAAACTTGAAAAATAACTAAAATGATCCCGATACAGACCGGGGATAAAATTCAACCAAATAGCTTTGACTTCGGGTCCTACAAATCAGGCAAGTGATTTTAATTATCTACATTTTATTATCAAAATTATTTTGACCAGTTGGCATAAATTTATCCTCAGTAAGAATAGAATTGAAGGCAAGACTTGAGTATGAAGAAAGAATCAAGATTATGATAATTATCAACAGTGGCCACTACAAGCTATCCGTAGTAGTTACAAGGTATATTAGGAATGGTTACTACATGTTATTATTAGTCAAGACAAACATTTGCATGAGTATTAGTTTATACAATGTATTAAGGGTATGAACTTGATTGTTCAAACTATTGAAATCTCTAAACACATCCCACACACGGTGGGTGAGTGGGTGGGGAGGATTACATGAGTCACTGCAAGTTTTTCAACCACCTCCATCCTTTCAACTCAATCGCAGTTCAGTCTTTCTATCTTTTTTTCTCATTTCTTTCTCTTTTCTGTCACTCTTCATCTCTTTTCGTGGTTTCAAATAGATTTTTTTCTCATTTAAACCAAATTTGGCCTTCAATTTTTATAGTTTTTATCTGACTTACTCATTCAAGAAAAATTCAAGATGGAAATTATTTACTTCCCTGAATTGATATTTGAATCAAATTTTAACAAAAATGGCAAAATTTTCATGTAAACACTACCAAAACTATATCAATTAGAAATCACTGACAATATCAGATTCAATGAATTGCACTCACCTTATCTACAACTCCTTGTCCATTGGAAAATAACACTAGGCCAGAATGCAAAAAACAACCTAATCTTATGAGAAGTACTAGTTTCTAACAATCTTGTCTTATATATGCATTCAATGTGCATTAGTTCATAGATCTATACTTTTAACCGAATCAGATAGGTAATGGCATTTTTATGGTTGATTTAACCAGCTTTAAGTAATTCTTTTCATTATTAGAAAATTAATGAACAAGTGTATGACCCAGTCACTAAGGCAAGGCTAAGACAATCTGATAAGCAACAAAAAAGAGTTGATTGCCTAACCTACAGTGTAATGTCAACCTTCAGCAGATCAAAAGCTAATTCAAAACATCCAATAGCGGATAATTAATTTTAAGAGAAATTCAAGTATACATAACAGTAAAAAAATTAACTCACAATGGGCCCATTCTTCAAAGCATGTTCTTTTGCAAATTTGCAAGCTTGCTTAACAGCAAGAACGTCCATGCCATCTACCTGTGCGTAGTAAAAACTATTTGTTAAAAAAAAAGATGGTTTAAAAAGGCCACTAAGTATACTTAACCACCCTATTTACAGATATGCAGACAGGAATGCTAAATACAAGTGCATACCAACATCCATAAAATACAGACTTCAAAAAATGATAGCAATGTCCAACAAATAAGTACATCACACAGCAAATATAGTCCTAGATATTTAGACATCAAAACATAAAAAAAGGGAACAGAGGGCTAAAGGAGAGTCAACAAAAGTATCAACATCCAATGCAAGAACAAGAAACGTGCCCATTACCAAAACCTCATTCGGACCCTTAGAAAAGAACTGACAAGACCTAAGATCCTTTAATTAAAAACAAAAACAACATAAAAGAAGCAATGGCCTTGAATATGATTGGAATAAACAAAAAGAGAGTGAGAACCTAATAATATAACTATTCAGTCATCATCTATCTACATTTTCAAAGAACTCATATCCAGGGAAAATTAAATCAATCAATAGGCATTAAGGATCTAATGTACAATCTATAAACAGCATCGCCATACAACATGATAATTTGATAACAACACATCCGAACATAGATTTTTTCCACGAAATTACATGCAATAGATCTTCACAGTGCAATGCTTTACAAAACAAAATTCATTATATCTGTCAAAATAAAATATGAGTAGTGCGTGTTTGGCTGAGTTGTTTTAGGACAAACAATTACTTATTCCTAAAGAAAATCTCAGAAAACCAGCAAAAATAAGCAACCATCTCCAAAATAACCTGAACCAAATGTTCACTAACTACAGCACTGAATGAAATCGTGCATCAATCAAAGAATCCAGACAAATTAATACACACCCATCCCTTAAACTAATACATTACAAAAGTAATTAGGTACACAGACATTACTTTCCTCAACTTGTAAGAACAACACATAATCTCAACTATTGCGTCAATTAAAAGCAGGCCCCACCTCATCAAAAACATGGATCCACCCCTTTTAACCGAGAAGCACATTAAATTTTCCCTTTAATTTCATATCAACCAGACACACAAAATGAAACCCACCTTCAAGCCAGGCACATAATCGCCACGCTTGTAATAAGCAGGACTCTTTGCAGCCCTCCACTCCGCAGTCCCCATCCCATCTGTGTTCACCAAAACCAAACTACCGAGTCACAAATACAATTCAAAAGAAAACAAAACAGTTTGACAATTCATCTAAATAACTTTACTCCCTAGACCACTTTCTTCTAGCTGCTTATCACCGTCAGAAAATCAGTGTACTACTTTTATAATACCAGAAAATTTTCTCCCGTGCCAACACCACAGACCAAAACTTAACTCTTAGGCTACTGTAGATGCTAAAATTTACAATTTTCTTGTCCAAGAAATAAAATATAAAAGAGACAACTACAAAACTTTAAGGAAAAAAACAACAACTCAAGATCATAACTTCTAAGTGCATGTTCCAATTAGGAGAACCCAAGATATAGCAAATTAAAATGAAGTTTTTTTTATAAGCTAAATTTAAGTTATACATGCATTAAAAATAAATATAAAAGGTTAGAGAAACTATAGGAATCAATTTCACCAATGAACAAACTAATCTCAATTTTTCCTTCCTTCTAATAAAGGCAGCAACTAAGTGAGTGACTCACAGTGATTATTCTCGCAGACCAAGATAGCAGGAAGATCCCAAAGCGCGGCAATGTTAAGCGCCTCAAAAAGTTGTCCCTGATTGGCAGCCCCATCTCCATACAAGGCAAAAGTCACACTCTCATCCTTACTATACTTCTGCGCAAACGCCAAACCACACCCTAACGGAACCTGCGCCCCCACGATCCCGTGTCCGCCGTAGAACCCACCCTCCTTCCTATAAAAGTGCATGGAACCCCCTTTCCCTTTCGAGCATCCGTCCTTGCGCCCCATCAGCTCCGAGAACACCTCGAGCAGCGTGCCGCCGCGGCCCAGGAAGGTGCAGTGGTCGCGGTAGGCAGTGATGATGCAGTCCTTTCTGGTGATGCCGGCCTCCATGCCCACGGCGACGGCCTCCTGGCCGTCGTAGAGGTGGCAGAATCCGCGGATGAGTTTGGCCTTGTAGAGAGAGTCCGCAGCGATCTCCATGCGGCGCATGAGGGCCATGTCACGGAAAAAGGAAAGCAGCTCGGAGGGAGAGGTGGTGACTGCGCGTGACGGCGCCTCGCAGTTGTGCGCCGTGAAAGGAACGGAGGTCTCGACGGTGAGGGAGGCGTCGGAGGAGATCCGGCGCGATGAGACGGCTGCGGATATAGGCTTGGCGAGAGTGGATCCGAGGCCTCGGCGGGAAAAAGTTGAGAGAGCCATTGGATCTGTTGCGAATAAAATTTGCTGTGATTTTTTGTTTTTGGTTTTTGAATAGTGGAAGGAGGGATTGGAGTTGAAAGGGTTAGGTGTTGCTGAGATGAGACCTTTAGAACAAAATATTAATTCCAGGAAAAGAGAGAAAAACCGAAGCACTCTTCACACCAATCAGGCTGTCGTTTCGCGTGTTACTATTTTATTGGCTCCTGTGCTGTTAATCATATCTACTTCTTATTTAATATTTAATATATATCACACTTATGGCAAGTAATATGTATTTGCCTTATATAATTTTCTTTTTAGTCATTATTTTTATACCATCCAAACTTTTCTCACTTGCATATGAAATTATGCTTCATGTTTTTAAAATCCCTTGTAAAAATAGTTATTTTCACATACTTAACTTTAATATAAACTAAAACTCTAGTTCTTATGAAGTTATTTAATGTATTTTTTTTCTTTTTGCCTGTATTCTATCGTACAACAGAAAATTACTTGTAATATTTTAAATATTAAGAGACAATGTTCATGGTAGTTTCAATATAACTGGAGATAAAAGTTGTTGGAAATTTTTAAGCGCATTAAATTGTAGAATTTGCAGAAATGATGATAAAGCATCAGATGCTATTAACTATCTTAAAGTAGAATAATTTGTTGTATGCAAACTACAATATCATACAGTAGTTTTTAAATTAAAAAATGAATCATATTTTAAGAGTGAGTTTTATTGAAGGTGACTGAAGTGTGGCAGGCGCAGCCAACCTTGCCATTTTTTTATACAATTCTTGACATTTGCTGTTATGTGCAGATAAAGATAAACTTTAGAGTAAAACCTGATTAAAAAATAAGTTTACTTTTTTATTTTATTTTATAGAAATTGTAATAATAAAATAAATTATTATCCATAAATCATGATAAGTTTATCAATTTACTATAATTGTTTTGAAGTATTATTTGATTTAAGAAAAAAAAGAGAAATGAAAATTGAGACCAAATTATATAAATGATTTTTTATGTTTTACAATTTATTCGATCTGGTATTGTTTTTTTAAATTAATTTATTATTTTTGCATTTTAAAATTGTTTAAAATGTGTCTTCCATATGTTTAAATTTAATTTCGCAAATATTTGAAATCAAGTAAGTCTTTTTCACCCTCAATATTCTTTATCCACTTCAGTTCCCTAGTCTTCTTTCCCTTTCTTCTCCATCACTACTTCTTCACCTATAACCTACACTCAACTTTTCATTTTTTTTTGTATTGCTTGTTCATTCGTTCAATTACCTTTTTGTGTTCTTTTCTTTTCCGAAAACAAAAGTGAAAGTTTTGCTTTAAATATGAAACTTTGCAAGTGGCTCCAACTTAATCTGTCTTCCTCGGGCGAAATAAGGTTGTTTGAGAAATGAGGTTTTTTTTTTTATTTATGTTGTTGGAGTATTTTTATGTCATGATTTGTTGTTGAAGAAAGAATGAACAAATAAATGATAGAGAGAGCACCAAAGAGGAAGGAAGTTGAATCTGGTTGCAGGTGAGTTGGGGGCGGAAAAGAAGAAGTAAGTTGTGAGGGAAAAAGAAGGAAGTGTAATTGAAAACCAAAAGAGGAAAGAGAATAGACACCTGAATTTGACCACTTTAAAAATATAAAAAGAATAGAGATTAAACTAAATAAACATAAAAATAATTATCACAGTAATTTAAGAGGAGAAAATACTCCTATTTTTACCTCATTTGGTTCAAGTAACTTAAGAGGCTCAAGAAATATCTGTGCAAATTTATTCTCTCAAATCAGAGAAAAAAATAGAAGAATTTTTTTCCCGAAAAATATAAGTATTTGTACCGACCGGTCCTCCTGACACATAGACCGAGCAAGCAGGTAAACCAATGCCGCCCACCCAGGTCACAATCATGACCGAGCGTCCAAACTAACGTTGTCTGAGTCGACATAGACCGAACGGTCCTCCAAGGTCGTCCATCCAGGTCGACCATCAAGAACGAGCGGCCCACCAAGGTCGTCCATCCAGGCCGACCTTTCGACCGTCCCACCCAGGTTGACATCATTGGCCGGTTACCCTACCGGCCGACCGTTTCGACCGTCCCTCCCAGGTTAACATCATTGGCCGATTACCCTGCTGGCCGGCCGTTTCGACTGTCCCTCCCAGGTTGACATCCTCGGCCGGTCGCCCTGCTGACCGACCGTCACCACCGTCATTCACTATGTCGACTACGCGATTAAATACTAATGACTCGTTAAAGCCCTTAATGAAGATTAAGGTATGATTGGGCCGTTTTCAGGCCCACGAAAGGTAAAAGCCCATTACAATCAGTATAAATAGAGGTTCCAGGTATGAGTTCTGGACGAATTCCTTACGATGCAATATATACATGCATCACAGACCGCTCTGTCATATTATTGACTTGAGCGTCGAAGTGCCTTTGACAGGTACCCGACCGCCCGGCTTGGAGTAGGAGGACGACCACCGGGAGTGCATAGGGAGAAACTCGCCCGGTCTACAACCTAGAGCGTGGAGCAGCGTCAGTCCGTAACTGTACCGTCCGCCACACGCATGGCCCGGCCTTCTTCAGTTCGTGGGATTCAGCAACGACCGTCCGATTTTCGTCAGCTTCTAGAGCCCCCGGCGCTAGAGCCGCTCGATCTGCTTCAGTTTATGAGGAAGCGTCCGCCCGGTCCATAGCAGCTTCATCGTTCGTCCGCCAGCCTTTACCGTTCGTGATCGTCCGTCCGGTCTTCGACAAACTTGTGTGTTTTAACAGGGTCCCCCTGGATCCGGTCGAAACAGTATTATTTTTTATCAAGACTATTTTTATTTAAAACATTTATATCATTTATGGTACACATTTTTCTTTAATTTGCATATATTTAAATCCTAATTTTCATTTTTATTCTCGGTATCAAATAATTCAATCAATCACTCTATTTTCATTTTTTGTCTTCTACTTTCTTCCCTAAATTAAACGAATCATATAGATCATCATAACATCTTCAATGGAATTATTTAAAGATAAAAAATCCCAAAGTCTCATATATATAAATTGCTTAACTCTCTTTAAATTTAAACAGCTCATGTATAAAGAACCCACAATAAAATGCCATTTTTGTTTATAGGCTTAATACCTGTTTTTGTCCCTCTTTATAAGGGAAATGTTCAATTTCGTCCTACCTTTTTCAAAAAGTTCAATGTGGTCCCAAGTTGTGTAAAAAGTGTCCAATTTAATCCTTTTTGGTCACGGCGTTAAATATTTAACGATCCTGCTGACAGCGTGGACTGATGTGTGCAACGTGGCTTTTTTCCTTCGTAACGTGGCAGTTGACGTGGCAGTGGCAGTGAAAAATTCTGAGTTAGGGTTTGGGTATTTTCTCCCATCCTTACTTCTACAGTTTGGAGCCAATTGGATTCGAAGCTGTTACAGGGCACAAACAACGTTTGTTTTGTTTAGTTTGGGACTTTGTGTACCCTTCTGCGCCTGGTGGTATTGATATCCCCATGGTCAACCCCTTCGCTCCTGGGGCACCAAGCTTGGGTGGACTTGGGTGTTCCAAGATTATTGTGTGTGTGGCTAGCGAGGATAAAATTAGGGATAGAGGGGTTTGGTACTTGGAGGGTGTGAGAAAGAGTGGGTGGCAAGGAAAACTGGAACTGTTTGAAGAGCAAGTGATGAGAACGGAGAGTGTAATTTTGCCGTCGAAGCCCCTGGTTGAAGAAGCATCAATGGAGAATCCTCCCACGGCCATTTTTTGCT